TTGCATCTCAGAAATTATTTATATAGTTTAAAGACACATTAAGTTGGGCAAATATCACTAAATGTTTTTAAAATATTTACACCATTCTTGTAGTGACTCCAGGCTTAAGGAAATAATTTTCTAATCAATAATATCTTTACAAGTGTTTTTGCCTGTTTGTTTTTATTTGGGGCTTGAGGGTTTTTGTAATTTACTGTTAAATTTGGAGTGTTCATAGAGCCTAAACAACCATGTTTGTTAAAGCAGACTCCTGAACAAAGAATGACAATCAAAAGGTGTTAAATTTTTTAACAAAAATAGCAATAAATAAATAAAAGCCTCTGTTAAATCCATCTGGATATTTCAGTGACAATTCTTTATATGAACATTACTTTAATTTTCAGAAATATCATCTATACCAGGTCCAGTTTACTTTAGCAAAATGCCAGTAACTGTCAAAGGCATCCAGGGGTTTTATGTTGTGACATGGAAGGAGGGCATTTCACAAGTGCCTCTGACAGCCAGCACCAGCCCTTTGTCTCATCTCAAAGACATCTTCTCTCTGGAGGATGGAAAAGATTTTGAATACCTTTGGTTTAACAAGTTCAGGAGTAAGACTTACTTTTGGGCTTCATGTGGATTGCTGGAAGAAATGACATGTACTAGTTACTGCCAGGCAAACACGCTCTCGTCCTATACATGGAACCAGAGATGATGTGTTAATCCAAAGAAACGAAAACATGCATTAAGAAGAACATTTTATTATCCTTATAATACTTTTGAGGAAATGCTGGTGCCAGCAGGAGCACTGTAAGTCTGGTCCCTGCTGTCAGACCATCATCAGGAGGAATCCAAGTGGCACCAAAGTGTCCAATTTTGGGCCCCTCACTTCAAGACAGACATTGAGGGGCTGGAGTCTTTCAGAGAAGAGCAGTGGAGCTGGGGAAGGGCCTGAAGCACAGCTATCATGAGAGGCGTCTGAGGAAGCTGAGGGTATTTAAGCTGGAGAAAAGGAGGCTCGGGGGGAACCTCATTGATCTCTACAACTGCCTGGAAGGAAAATGTCATGAGGTGGTCATGGTCTTCTACCATGTCCCAAGTGAAAGGATAAGGGGAAATGACCTTAAGTTGCACTGGGAGAAGTTCAAATTGGATATTAGAATGAAGTTTTTCACTGAGACTTGTTAGGCACTGGAATAAATTGCCCAAGGAGGTGGTGGGGGTCACCATCTCTAGAAGCATCATTTCACTAAGAAGTTTGACAGGAAAAAAAACCAAACCCTAGTCATCAATTTGCATAGCAGCAGGTAACATATTACTCCAAGTCTGTAAATAAATTTAAGAGAATAGTTATCAGGGAAATAATTGCTAGGACTGACTTCCTTGCCGCTTCCTTGTTGATGTTAGGGGATTTATTTTCCATTCTTTTCCTATGCCTCTCCAGTTCAGCTGCTTCCCTCATTTGAGAGTCTTCCATAAAGACACTGAAGAAAATGATACCACAAGGCATTTGGAAGAGAGAGTGTTTACAAAGCATATAAATAGACTGTGCTGTATCCAGAATAATTAGCCGTAAGCTAAGTAATAAAAAATGTGGAGAATTCACAAGTATGCCAGATAATTGAAAATCCAACATTTACTCAGAAGTTAGGGATAGGTTGCATGCTATAAGCACATAGGATAAGTGCTGCTGCATAATCTGAGGGGAAAAAATAAGCAATGAGCTACATTCAGACCAAATGCATGTAATACATCTGAAATATCCATCGAGCCAGATGTTAATTTAGCTCATGACCCTAAAAATACAATTCTGCAATCTTATGCTCAATGTGCAATGCAGGATGCATTTTCCAGACTATCTACTGAAAACTGAATTATTCTGAAATAAGAGCTTTAAAAGCCTTAGAATTCTTCAGAACTTTGCCATTGCAAACACAGCTTCTGGGGAGAATTATTTAAAAAAAAAGAACAGTAAGCACTGAAAGTATACCTCACTTCAACTGTGTAAGCAGCTAGGTCTCAGTGAAAAACCCTATCCCTCCTTGCCCCCTGCTGTTATGTTTTAAAAATTAATGCAGGACTCCATCAGATCAATGTTTATTTCAGACAGGGAGCTTTTGGCTGAGCTGTAGCTGATGTCCTTGGCATGTTTTTAGCAGCATATCAGAATGAATCATCTGCTTTGGAAATACCACATTACATTTCTGTAGCTTGTTTGAAGAAGTAATGTGTAACAAGGGAACCTTTAAGGAGTCAGTCTCCAGTTTGGGAGACAATTACATGTACTCATGGTGTGATATGTGACTGCAGTCCCTTAAACAGCAGCAACCCTGGACTTACACACTCCATGCACACATATCTCCTTGATTTACCTTCTATAGCCTAAAATATTAACTAATCCCCTCACCTCACATCTCCCAGAATAATATAATAAACAAACCCTCAATGCAATAATTTAAATAATTTTGTTTTACTAAGGGTCTCAATGTATGATATCAGGAGGAGCCTGCAGCACTTTCTAACCACAGCCTAAGGAGCTGGATGAAGAAGGAAGCAAACCCAGGTTAGGGGAGTACATCACCCTGTTATCTTCTAGCACCACTTGGTAATTCCTAAACAGAGTATTAAATGCATGCAAAATATAACAGGTGCTGTTGATTGCCACAATGCATGGTGATCACCTCCAACTGAATGGATTCTTGGGCCATTGAGATCCCTTATTACTCTCAGAAATGCCCCTTTTGCAGAGGCACACTCAGAGCTTGAAGCAGCTCTGGCAGCTGGAGGTGGCTGCTAGCTGTGCTGCCAGTCTCTGCCCTGAACTGCTCACTTCAGGCAGGCACTGTCAGTAACAGCATGTTCTCAGTGGGATGAAAGATTGGTTCCTGCAGGAGAGGAAGCCACTGAATGAGAAAAAACCATTCTCCCTAGAAAAAATATCAGATAAATGTATCATAGCAGTCTGGCCCTTGGCAGCCTTTACAATCTCTAGCATGGTATAGCATGAAGTTTCTTAACACAAGACTGCTTCCTTTCCAGTCTGTTGTATAACTCCAAGTACTCGAAATTCAAGAAGCTCAGTGGATGATGGCACTTCAAATAGCATTGGACAACTTTTTTGTCCTGTAATTATGTAAAATCTGAAGATATTATCCTTCCAAACAATACCAGTTGTGTTAGTGACTTTTTTTAGTTGTCATTAATTTGAATTGACATTTCTAACACCACACTAGAGCCCACAGCACCGGCTTGCTATCATCCGTCTGAGCTCACACACCCAAAAGTTTAGCAAACAGTAGCTTACTACACTGATGATATTCCTGCCCAATTTCAAAACAAAACCAGGAACAGTCTACTAATGGAAGGTATTTAGTTTTCCCATTTAACTGCACCTCCTGACCATGTCCCAAGATCCCCAGGAAACCCCATTTCTCTGTATTTCACTTCTGCATGTGCCTTATCCCTTTTCAGGCTCTTTTCTCTCCATTTGTGCCCTGTGAAGCTGAAGTCAGTGTGTTTGGTACCCTGTTTGGGGTTGTGCTTTTCCTGACAGCTGAGCTTCCCTGTGTGGGGAAGAACATACACAGAGGTAATTAGGGAGCCAAACAATGCTGCACTCCCAACAGTGAGCCATAGAGCTGTGTCTTGTATGTGGCTTTGTTTGTAACTTCTGTGGTCCTCAGGCAATAGCCTTAGTGAAGCATTTTGATAACCTCTCACAGAAGATTTCAGCACAATCAGCAAAGGTTTCCTTGGCAAACTAAACCAGTATTTTATCTCTTGGCTGTATATAAGCATGGACTTATTTTCCATGACAATTTTTCCCCTACCCCTCGGTTGCATACCCATCTGTCATAAGGTTTCATCAATTAATACTAGGCTACATAGCCTAGTATTATAGCACTACATGTAGGGATTTAAAATAAAAGGTAAAAAATTTTTGGTAATATAATTTCATTAAAATTTATTGAACAGACATGCAACTTAACAATGCCATTCAGAAGTCAAAGCATGTCACAGGTAACTCTAAGGAAACTATCACAATTTTTAAAACTTCACCTGTCATATTGGGGGGAAAAAATCTTGCCCTTCCCCCACTGAGCATATTTAGAGCAGTCCAGCCAGCTGGATTATAGTTGCACAAAATGCTTTCAAAGTTAGCAACAGCTCTCTCTATTTGCTGATTCACATGACAGATGATAAAATAGCTTTATCCTGCCCTTGTACTTGTGTGTTTTGGTTTTTATCTTTTTTCCAAGATGTTCTGACATTTGTTAAATTACTTCTATATTGTTTGCTGACAGCATAATTGACCTCAGGAAATGTCATCTCCAATTGTATGAAAGTCTTAAATTGCTTTCCCAGCAGCAGGTAATGACATCTCACACCAGGGCTTTGTTTTGGTCTGCTATGCTTTGTCAAATTTTCAGTCTTTTGTGGATTCCTAAATGTACTAGAGTAGGAATTCACAGTGAGAGGAATATCAAATCATTTAGAAATTTTCCACCAGACAAGTTGGATACTGGTTCATATGTAAAGGAGTAAAAGAAGTACTTCAAATAAGTACATCGCAGGGGATTAGTTTTAGTGTCTCAGCAGAGCAAGTGAAGCCATGCTCTGGAATGATATTCAGAAGTATAGCTCACGCTTTGCATGTCTTATCTTCAAGAAGATTGGTTAAGAAACCTTCTTTTTTGCCTAAAAATGATATATTCATGAGTCCTTGTTTCATACTGCATACAGTATTTCAGCATCCTCCACTGACTGTAAAATGCTGCAAGCTGTTGCTCCAGTTCCTTGTAAACACCAAGTCTGAAATTCTTTATCCTGTTTTACTTGAAGTTTAACCAAGCTGAGCAAGTACATCCTCTTTTCTGTAGAATTTCTACTTGCAAAAAGCAACATTTTAAAAAAATATACAAATATATAAGGAAGATGTTGCAGTCTATGATATTCTTCTCAAAGAGGCAGATTTGAACTTGTTTTCCACAGATGCATCTCACAGGGACACATCTCAACTCTCCCAGCTTCAAGTAAAATATTTACAGTAAGCAACAATGGCCCACGAATAGAGTGAAGGTTCCATGTTTTCCACTTGTGTTTTGGATTCAGCCTCAATAAAACCAAGCAGGCAACAGCTTTCCTTTGAGCCATCATGACTGAAGCAATAGATGCCAATATGTTATCAACATCCACACCATCTAAAGTAGAACACATTTCAGGGCAAGAAGAGTCACAGATAATTTTAGTGAGATATTTGTGTGCCTGTGACAGGAATAGGAAAAAAAAAGCAACTAAGGAACCATGGGGGGAAAATAGCAAGAAGATGCTGCTTAAAAAGCTTCTTTGGGAAAATCTCACAGAACCAAGACCTACTCTTCACTGAACATTAAAGTTGCTAATGGAAAAAAGCATAAAGAAAACTCCACTAAACCAAAAATAACCGAGTCTTTAAAGATCTAGAGGTGTTTCAGGCTGACATAATAGTGGGAATGAGAAAAACTTGAGGTGTCAAGGTGGCATATCTTGTTGTGTCATGGGCTAATGGGGGTGAGAAAGATTTGATGGGGCATTTCCAATGACAGACTCCGTTGAATCCTGTCATGCCATCCTCAGTGTAACGGGTCTGCACTCTCAGGGTGTCCAACACCACCACCAGAACTGCAGTCCTTTAAATTCAGCAGCACAAGTCTCACCTGAAAGGCCACTTTATCTTCCCCAACACAAGCACCAAGAAACTGTGCTGAAGCCTATTTTTAGTGTCAAATCTCACCTGCAATGGAGTTGGCACACAGGCTCTACAACAGCCTCAGTCCTGGTGGCAGAGGCACTTCAGACACTGCAGACAGGTGTGCAGGGCTGGTTCAGTGAACAATGTTCCCTTTGGACAGCAGAGTTAAAGGCAAATGTAACTGAAAATGCAGTCATTGCTCAGGTCAGCTGCTTGTATTTCTCATGTACAATCAATCAATTCTGTCCTCACTTAAATTTGTTTTCCACTAACTGGGCCAATTTTCATGATGTTATCCTAGACTTGCACTAATGAGAAGAATAGAACCAGACCTGCTAAATTCCCTGAAAATTTTCTTCATTTTGGTTTTGGCTTTTCTTAGCTCATCTAATAACAAGACATGTGACAGACTTACTCAGTAACACTTCTTCAGCCAACAATTGATGGTAACGAGAATAAATGAAGGAAAAATTTCTGCCCTTCACATAACATTTGTAAAGGAAGAAAAATTCTTTACATCTGGCATTTTCATTTAACAGCAGGTACTTTTCACAATTTTCTAGGATATTACCATAAGAGAAGGGTATTAAAGATCCAACAAAAACAGTTGATATCTACAAGCATATTAAATACTGAAGTCTGTCTTGGGATTGGGACAGAACTTAACTGGTGACAAAGCAAAGGAGCCATCTCCCAAGATGCTGCATAGTAAAAACCAGCATTAATTCATTTTCCATCTCATTTTCCATCCTGATTCAACAACCTTTTTGAAATGAATGAATGCATCTCCTTGATGACTTTCCCAGCCTTGTTTTACAAGAGGAAATGGAAGAGACTGTGGTTGATGCACTAAAAACAAGGGAAAAGCTTGTTTTTAAAGCTTTGTCATGTTTCCTCAACTCTGAACAAGGTTGAACTTTTTTTGTAGGAAGCTTATCAGAATGAGCAAGTATTACAAATATTGTGGAAATTAACAGTTTTTGGCTGATGACCTTTGGTGAAAGACTGCTCAAAGGGTGAGATACAATAGGAAGTTTGTAATAGCAAACATTGTAATTGAAAATGGATAAACCCTTTAAAGTAATTCATTTCTACTGGTTTGTGCTTTTAAGGAGGCTCTCTCCTTTTATCCCTCTCAAAACCAGGATAAACTATACGTATCCTTCACTGTTATAAGCATGACTTCCATGAGAAGCATCCCAGATGGGGAGGCTGGAGGTGGCTCCAGTGACTATACCTCAGAACAGGGCCATTGCACTCAGACACTGGTACTCTGAAGGGTTTGCATTTCTGCAAGTCCCCTAGCATTGCTTCAGTAGAAAGCACCATCACTCAGGCTTCAATTCTCTTTTGCACTCATGTACAGCAGCTTTACCATAAACAAGAATCAGCCCCAGATGTCTTTACAGGAAATAGTACATGGGAAAGAATGCATAGTGCTACAAAGATAGAAACCTTTTCTCTCTCCATCCATTTCCAAACCTGAAATTTTCCTTAGATATAAAAAGACACATATAATCAAGGACATTGAGCTGGCTGTAGGGATGCAAATTTGTAGCCCTGCTCTAAATTAGGCCATTGAAGCAGAAGTGGTAAGACAGACCACTAATCAAGGAGGAAACCATTTATAGAAGGAAGGAGGGAACATGTGTGCCCAGAGATCATGAAGCAGCCTTGCACCTGCAATGTCCCCATTACACAAGTGACATGTTCTCTCCCTCCAAACATCACCATATTTTTTGCCTAGAGCATGTCTTTACCCAAATGCCCTTGGCAAGGGTTGGGGGACAGGAAGAAACACCTTCAGAATTTAGATAGTGTGATCAGGGGCTTCTGCATGGCGGAAATATCATATTCACAGCTCCCCAGCAGCTTACAGTGAGGACATCCCAGATGGCTTCTAGATTTAAGTGTACAAGGCTTCCCTGAGTTTATTCCAGAGTTTGAATGGGAAAAGAGAGATCATTGGCCTAAAAACTTTCTCTGCAATAAAAATTATTATCAAATTACTTGGTGTTTCACAGCAGAAGAGGAATTTGTGAAGTAGCAGTTCCCCCAGGGCTGCTACTGAGCAGTGTCCAGCCCCTCAGTGTGCAGTTGTGGGGGCAGCAGTGGGGCAGTGGCCACAGCACAGTCCTGTCAGCACCCACACATCTGCCAGACTCCAAACACCCTCCCTACATAACCACTCTTGAGAGAAACTCCATTGCAGAGCAGTTGCTATATGAAGCTACAAAGAAACCATGTGTGCAGCCCTTCTGATCCTTACAGACCAGGAAAGGCTGACTCAGTGAGAGAGTAGATATTGTGGATATTTAAAATTTTCCTCCTTTATCAGGTGTAGGCTGACAAGGCCAGTGAGAGCATCAGAGTTGAGAAAGCTTTGTTCTTTTACATGAAAGCCTGTACTATGCAGCTCTCAAACATTTGCCATGTTTGACTGAAATAGTGTGGATGAAAGAGGAACTTTGTGCAATTCACCCATTTGTTGCAAAACCTGGGTTTGCCCCTGTTCCAGGAGTGAATCTAAAACCAGCAGTGAACAATAAGTGACATACCAGGCTGCTCCAGATCACCATAGTTTCAGTACATCACGTGGTATCAGTATTACCAAAACTTTTGAGGAACCCACCCACACCCACAAACAGCACCAGGAACATGAGGATATTTGTTTTCCAAAGCATTTCTAAACTGGTTAGATGTGAAAAAGCAGGCTGGAAAAATAGAGATGGAAGCACACAGCTCAATTTCACTTCAGACCTTCTGTTTTCTTCCACGGTGCTTTACCTCTTCCTGAAAAATTCACTCCCCTTCCCTCGGAGTTCTTTTTCCTCCAAAGACCACAGTCCTCCTTTCTTATGTCCCCAAAATGATTCTCCCAGAATAAACAAGTAATCTAGCTGCCATGCCAAAACAGTGGAAATACTTTCCTATAATAGTGTTGCTTGCTGAGCAACGAATTTAAAGGTGGGTGAGGTAAATCCAGCCCTGTATTGCTCCCTGCAGCAGCAAGGGCTGGAAATAACAATGTTGCTACTGCAGATTTAGTGGATTGCTGTTTTGCAGCTCTTCATTGACTGTTTCCCCTGCCCTTTCAAGACCACAGAGATATTTTTATTACCAGTTCAGTGAATGCAAATACTGCTAGAGATGAACATGATTACCTTAAATGCTCCTCCATGCCAGTGTTTCCTCTCATCTGCTGCAGGTGTAGTAGGGCAAGTCTCATGACCCACCACTGAAGGCTCCCTATTCTTCCTGTTCTTCTTGCTTCCTGCAAGAGCATGAAAGAAAGTAAAGATGTGCCTCAAGAGGCCATGGTGAGACTGTTCTGCTTGCCCCTCTGCAGGCATTCCCCCTGCAGTGGGAATATTGTGCAACATACCTTACCCTCACCAGCTCTTCTTGGAAAAGTTTCTGCCCTAAAACTAGACATGACCATTACTTTTCTGTCAAAAGCTCTAAGAGAACAGCTGTGTTCTTTTACAGCTAAACACAAATTGATATGTTTTATCAATTTGTAGTATAGAGTTTGTGATTTTAATAGTGAATAAAATTTCATTAATAAAATTACTGCTGTCTGCCTCAGCAGTCAAATTGAATTGCATATCAGCTTTCTGAAGCAAGCCTAATATACTTTGCCATTAAAGACAAAAAAGTAAGTTTTTTCTAATGCCGTATTCACTCAAACATATTGCATACTTTTAACACAGCAAAGAAAGTTCTTCATACAACAGAATGCTCTCAACTCCCAACAACCTGAACTGTTCAGCACCCAAAAATGTTGTTGAGGATGCGTATTTGAAGAAATATTTAAAGCATTTAAACTTATTCCCTTGATGATGTAGGTTGAGGTAAAGGCACTTGAGATGTGAAAATTGAGGACCGATTTCAGTAGGAAGCAGTCAACATTTTGAACTTGAGAGAGAATTTAGGCTCTGAACCTGTAAAATCCCTTCACAGCCTTGTCTGTGCTTTAGAAAGACACATCTTGATTCCTCCCATCTGAGGAGGGGATGGTTTGGAGGGGAGGGTACACATGAGATGAGTTTCAGGATAGTTTGCTAGGATTTAGTTACAATACAGAATTGCAAGTGTGCGTCATGAAGCACAAGTGATTTCAGTGGTGGAAGCTCAGGGTGAAGAGCTGCCCATGCCCGGAACTTGTGCATAGAATAAAGATGCTTTGAGCTATCCATATATAAATATCATAAATTAACATTATCATATTGATATATAAGTATCATAGAAAGCAAAGAGTAGAGAGGAACCAAATAAGGTTCAAAGCCCCATTCATGCTCAACAGCAGCTGCATTCAGCCAACCACTAAAAACTGCAGGATGAAGCACATCCATTTTTCCTAAAATGACACAAACAACCCCAACATTATTTTACATTGAATCAACTTTGTTCTAACATATTGTCCATACTAAGCAGGACACTCCAGCCACAACTCATTATAACAGCCTTACTTACACATCCCTCCTTAGAGACACACCAAAATAGCTCCCCAGGACCAGCATTCACCCATCCAAAGAGCAGCAGTTCTGCAAGAAAACATCTCATTAAGCACCCCAAATCAAAAGGAGGGCTGCTTGGGCCTGGAGGATATATTAGGACACCAGGTGATTGTTTGGGGATGATCATTTCAATTGGAGAAAATACATCTCAGCTGGAGCCTCATAAGGAAGTCCATTGTGTATTTAATCATCAGTCTGTGTTTTATGTTTTTAAAATCTATGTTATCTATGTTTTTTCTGGCTTATTGAACAATAACCCACATAAAAAAGGGTGAGGAAGCACAACCCTATGTTGTCAAAACCACATCACTTTCAAAAATTGCTGATATGGAGTTAAATTTTTTACCCAAGCAGTCAGCTTCCCTTTCCCCAGCTGTTTTTTTTTTTTTTTTTTTTGGAGTGGGGAGAATAGGTGTATTTACATTTCTTTTGAAACTTCTAAATCAAGCTGGAAGGAGTTCAAGTGCCCAGGAGCAATTTATTGTAAATGCTGGGGACAGGAAATTTGCATACACATTCCTGTTAATATGAGTAAGCATGAAAAGAAGGCATGAGCTCTACCTCTGTGTAAAGCACATCACTTTATGCTACAGTGATTTATGTGGTAAAACCATTTGCCTGTAAGCACCTTTTGAAGTAGAGTCAACCAGTGATAGTAAACCAGCTATTTAGAGAGATTGATAAATACAGTGGTGTAAGCAGATGCAGCTCAGTGTCTGTCCACACCACAGAGAGACCCTGTACCAGTGGAGAACATGGATCATTGAAAATGGCACCTTCCAAAGTAAGTTCAGAACTATATCCAGTACTGAGCACCAACACTGTATCTTCCAAAATTATATATGACACCGTTGGGTTTCTGTGACTGCAAAAATCAAAATGCTTCTCTTAAATGTAGTACACTTTACTGTGCTAAATGACAGCAAAAAAGTCCTGCAACGTCCTCCAGTCCTGGGTTTGCATAGCTAAACCAGGTCTGGAGCCAAAATAGGACAACTGGTTGATAACCTAGGTTTGTCTCACTAGAGGAGACACTGTTAGTCAAAACCTAATTTACTGAGAATACTTCTGAACTGACACTAGGTAGTGCCCAGAAAAGCCTGGAACACATGCTGTACATAAGAAGCTGTTCCCAAGCTTTTTTCCTGGATATTTTTGCACTTGTGAGCTGGAAGAACACGAGATTATTCCATTCTGGGATGTTACCAACTTCACCAGACATGTTGTGAAACATAACTGTGCAAACCCTCCTGCCTGTGCCGCCCCCCCTCGGGGTCTGGCATCTGCAGTGTCTGCTGGCTGCCCTCGGGGGATGCCTTTCCAGCCAGATGCCTCTGAGCTTTACACAGTGTGTTTGTGCCTTCCAGCTACAGACTTGCTAATATCTAAACACCCACTTTTCACCTCTTTAGGTGAAACGGGTTGAGTCTGTATGTTCAGCTTTTATTTCTCCATATTCTAGAGCACATAAATCCACACCAGATGTGCATGAGAGGGGATGAACTCCTGTCAGACAGCAAAAAGCTGCATCAGAGCCATCTTTACATCTGCAGCTGCTTCTGAGGATGTTTTTGCAGGGGCTGGTACCAGCTGGTGGTTCCACTCACAGGGCCCTGGGGGAACAGCTCAGTGTCGTGATGTGGTCAAGGGCTGACCACGCTTTTCACATTCCACCAAGGACCGGAGAGCATCCTTCCTAAATACGGTACCCCAAAGGTGTATTTTTACTGCAGGCTGTGCCCTTTGGGATTCAGCCGACTAGAATTAACGTGCCAGTAGATTTAAGAAGTCAAATACAGAAGATGGAAGACAATGAATCTTTTAACCTGAGTGAAGAAGACAACACATTCTTGCCTTGACAAGACTCACTTGGCAATTTCATACATCATTCTGGTCTCAGTAACTACCAATGAAAAGTATGAATAGATTTTGATAATGTTCTAAAAACTCATCTTTTTCTCTACTTCATAGATTTTTCTCTCTCTTTACAGGGTACAAAATTGTTAAGGAATTCCTTCTGCTGTAAAGGTTTGTTTTTTTTTTTTTTTGTCAAGAGAACATCTGTCTTTTATTTCCAGAACATTACATATGGATATATTGCCAAGCACTAGATTTTTTTCACAATAGATAATAGCTAAAAACAGAAAAAAGCACTACAGACTTAAAATTAAATCTTTCAAACCAGTAAAAGCATCAACAGGAGCTCAATTATGCTGTTTATTAGAGAGAGGTTACTAATACCAAATGGTCAGGATAGATTCCACAGAAAAATGTTCCCTAAGCATAGTAAATTTTAATGATAATTTTGCTGAAAATTGAATATATTTATATATAATGCCCAGTGCAGATCATGGTTCTGCTTACCATAGGATACACTTAATCAAACAAAAGCACTGCAGCAACACTCTTGGAGTGCCTTTATTTGACTGAGTCCAGCTGGGAACTCCACATATGTTAGAAATAAGATTTGCAGTTAATTGGCAAAAGCTTAAAAGATTTGAGAAAGGTTCTTCTGCACAGGAGGACATAATCCACATCCACAGAAAGTCATATTTGACTCACAGATGCAGCTCCATCTTGAAGATGAGCTCCTGATGGCTATTTCTAGCAGAGCTGGAGCTGAGGTATCTTCAGGTGTCATACAACCACCCATTGTCTTGAAGCCTTTCAGCACTGAGGCTGCTCCTCCTGCACATGAGGACATGCAAAAAGTGCCACTGCCAAGGAGCCCCTCACAGCAGCCGAGTCACTTTTCTGACATAAATCTTCTAAACAAACTCATAGTAAAATAATATATGCTGAAGCCATTGGCTTATCCTAGAGACAGCAGAAATTTGTTAAATAGCTCTAAGCCAAGAGGATGTTTATAGCTGAAGATTTGTTTCGTGCTTATAGTACGATCTGTGCCATATGTTCTCTTCCTTAGAGTTTTCCCTGCAAAACATTTTTATTAGATGTGCAGTACAAAGGACTTACACATCTTCCCACTTCATTACAGCAGCATCATCCTTCCAGGGCAATCTGTAACCAAGTAATATGTACTTTGCATTTTTATCAGGTCTCTGGCAGTAAAGTTCTGACTGATGAGCCTGAACTACTGAAACCTGATCTGATAGAAAGGAGCATGCATGGAGTATGGAATATAATTGTTTTTTCATGACAGTCTGTACTCATCCTGGTAAAAAACCTCCTTTGGAGACTGTTTCCAGCAGATAGCCTGGGACACTGGAGCGAGCCTTTCAGTAAAAAGCAGCATGCCTTATGTTATTAATCCTACTGAAATTGCAGCAGCAGTAGTGCATGAGTGAGCATAACCTGTCATGATCACTCTGAAGCAAAAGGCAGGAACTGTCAGTCACCATGGAAGGGCTTGTACATTCTTCTGAGCCTTCTTGAAGGGACTGGGTGTTGATGCTTTGGCATACAGTGGAAAATCAGGAAGTAAGCCACAAAGGCACAGGGAAAAAAGATGTGAAATTAAATAACGTCAGCTTGACCAAGGAACTGTTTTTCTTCCATTTCTGAGTGAGATTTCGCTCCCACAACACAGCAAGTACTTAAAAATCCTTATTGTGTCTGAAGAAAGGCTTTTCCTTTACTGACAGAAGTCTATTTCTGCTGGTCCTTTCTATTAGTTAATGCATTATCAAGAGATATCCATGCAGGAAAAATAATGGGAAACTGAGGTTTTTTACACTAGCAGAAAAAGAAACTAGAAAAACACTAGAGGGTTTTTACACTAGATTAATAATAATCCTGTAGGATATTTTCAAAATCATAGGTGAATACAGAATATGAGCTTTTGGTTCACTGGGGGGAATAACAGGGCAGCAACTAGATTTGAAAAGTCAGCGTGAATAAATAAGGCATAAAATTCAGAACAAATAAACATGGAAATATTTTGCTATTTTCTAAAGTGATTTTCAGACTACCTCCATGGGGAGTTTTGATCATTGGATTTATGCTACTTAATGGCAACAGTTTTATACAGCTTCTTTTGTCTTGCTATTGTACCTGATGATTCTTTGTCATCCAGTGAGTAAAGAAATGGCCCTTGTAGTGGCCAGACTTAAAATGTTCCACTTGATATTTCTTGCACTTTTGCTGAACCTGCCATTGCTGTTTGTGCATCATGTCTTTGTGCAGAACCTGCTTCATGCACACCCTTCTCCACCAGAAAGAAATGGGAGACTGTTTGGAATAGCTTTGCTTTATCTCAGATATCACTGACCACAATCAGTAGGCAAGAAAGAGCACCTTTATTCTGTGGGAAAATGGAGTCAGCAGTGCTTGGCTCAAAGCACAGTTCAGCAGCAAACTTGATGACTGTTGTTCATTTTAATTTTAGCCTATTCTTAACACCCTTTTGAAAGTGTACATATATTTTTTGAGGAACATCATTAAAAATAGATCAAGGGTGTTAATTTGACTGTAAACATAATGCATCTGGCATCTTTGAAGTAAGTTGTTTAATGATTTCACTGAAATCAAAGCAGCTTACTAACTGTTAATTAAGCATCTTCATCTGGTGGGTCACAACCTATAGAATTAAAACTGTGAATAGTAAAATGAAAGAAACACAAAAGAGTTCTTTTGATCTGGAGATTTCCCCACCAGAATGAGATCACAAATGCTTCATTATGTTTCATAAACTGATGGAAGTTCAAAGTTAGCATGACACAGAAATTGGTTGTCCTTATTGGATTAAATATCAACTATTCAATCAGATGTGGTTAGTACTTATGGTAATTCCATAAGAGTGTAGGAGTGAATAAAAACAGCAAGTATGGTAATCATACACAGTTACTAAAATGTTTAGACTTTCCTTGGAGCACCATTACTACTAGTGGAAACAAAATTCAGCATTTTACTATGCAATGCCAGGAACAAAATAAACAAGATGCTGAGAACATTTGAAAAGGTGCAAGTTTCATTTAATACGCAGCTGTGCCCAGCTGATTGCCAAAAGGCCAAGGATGTGCCTCTGCTTACCAGGGGGCAGCAACAAAATCCCATTATTGACTGTGTTTCCAGTCAAACAGACTGCAAAAGCTGCCTGCA